TCTAGTCTACAAGCAGAAAATAGCAAACTTCTACAACAAACGAGTTCGACCCCGAACATTCAAAGTAGGAGACCTTGTCCTCAAGAAAGCTGGTCTGACGGGGTTCGAAACTCGATTCGGCAAGTTGGCACCAAACTGGGAAGGCCCCTATACTGTTGCCGAAGTGCCGCATCCAGGTGCATATATCCTACGGGACACTGAAGGCAACCGGGTTCCTAGGGTCTAGAATGTCAATAATTTGAAGAAATTCTACCCTTAGCACACTTCTTTCCAGTAAACTTTGTTTTAACCAACATTATTCTGATTGCTATAATGAATTTCACTTCGCATTCGAAGTAATTCAGTTCTTTCTACACTTCTGTACTTTGGAAGTTAATTCCTTATGGCTTATTTAGTCCCTTCATTTTTTGGGATACGATTACGCTTCACTTATACTGGTTTTACTTCATCTTTCATTTGAGGTCTACCTCGTGCATGTCCGAAGTCAATCCCTTTACTATTCACTTTACTGAATCCGAGGTCTGTTCCTTATGTTAATTAAGGTAACTTTATTTCATCTGAAGTAATTCACTTGGAACAAAAATACCAAACACGCATCAAAATAACTTCAAAACAAAATTTTATGAATTCATAAACAATTTATAACAAAATTGTTTTTACAAGAAAAATTCTAAACTACTTTGCTGGAGGAGGAGGCTGCTCCTCCGCAGGGAGTGGGGGTTGAGACGGTGCATCTCCAGTAGGTAGGGGCGGCACTTCTGCCTCAGGAAGGGCCAGCAGCTGCACCTTGTCAGAGGAGACTGGCTGCACTTCGGGAGGCTGCACTTCAGCCATTGTTGCCTGATCCTCAACTCCAGCGCCTTGCGCTCCTTCTTCTTCTCCTTCTTCTTCTTCTTCTCCCTCCACGGCCACCAACTCAGCATCAAAGGTTGGAGGAAAAATGGTGCGCCCCTCTGCATCACGCTCCCACCTTAGAGTAATCTGAGGACGGAAGTCAGCACAGAAACTCTCACCATCTTCCTCCACTCCTTCCTCTTATTCCCCAAAGGTGACCGTTGTCACGTCCACCTCTGGGTACTGGGCCTTCACCTTCTTTCTACAGTCGGTAAAAGCCAGGATGGCGGTTGGCAGCCGGTAGAGTTTGAGGATGTTCTCGAACGTGCTGGAGTTGAGAAAGTTGCCAATGTGCTCCTCCATCCCGTTGTAAACCAGCAGGTTCACATTCTTCTTCAACTCCGCTGCTCCTTTCCTCATGATGTCCATGTATTTGTCCTTAGCCTCGACCTTCTCCTCACAGATCTTCCTCTTACGTTCTTTGAGGACGAGCTTCGTGCTCAGGACACCATTCTTGTTCTGGAGCTCGGTCACTGAAGGGAGCACTTCATCCAACCTCCTCTGCATATCTCTCTTCTCCTTCTCCCATACCCCCTTCTCCTTTTACAGCTCATCCTTCTCCTTCTGAAGCTGCTCGCACTGCCTCTGCAAGCTGGCACGATCTCTAACGCTCTCTGCATACTCCTATGCTAGAGCGTTTGTCCAGCTCGCACTCTACAATGCAATCAGAAGTCAGACATCAGACACACAAGACAAAAAACTCAAACATACAACTGGAGTAAAATCTAATTATTTCGCATACCTCTAGGGCATGCCTCACAACGGTATACCCCGCATGGCTAACCACCTCGTCCTTCGCCCGCATCCTATCCACCTCAGGAAGAGTAGCGTTGAGGAAGTGCTTCGCCCCAGTCTTGTTTGTCGCCTCAAACAAACTTTTCTGGTACACGTGAGGAGGGGTGCGCTCCCTGCCCCCATCAAGGCCTCGCACTTCGACCTCTCCCCTCTCCTTATCTTCCGGATTGATTTCTAAAGGAGAAGACCGAGGCACGAACTCCACCACCTCATCCCCCCTGGTTTCTAGCTCTGCCACCCTCCTCTTCTTCCTCTGGAGAGGTGCCATCTCCTCGCTTACATCCTCACTACCCCCCATCATAGGCTCCGGCCTTGGCTGCACCTCCATAGCCTGAGCAGAAATGCTGGACAGACGCCCCCCTCTGTAACCTCCTTCCCCGCCACAGTTGAAGTCTTTGACTTCTTCCTTGGCTTCTTGGGGATGTGCAGGCCCCCAGCAGCAGTGACGAACTCGTCCATCTCAGCTGCAAAACAAACATCAATGTCAGAACGCATCAGTTAAGCTCTCACCAAAATTGCACATTAAAAACATCCACCAACCTTCCCCCAATGAGCTTGGCCCATAGAGCTCAGCAGCATCTATCGCCTCTTGGCTGGTGAGGTACAAGATATCCACTACGTCCCCATCTTCCCTCACCAGCTTCTTCACTTCTTCCACCTCATCCTCATTCAACTTATAGTTGTTCTGCTTGGTTTTCTTCGCTTTCCAAGCAAACAACTGTTCCACTTCAGCATCCCTCCTACTCCACTCGGTGTCATCCACAAAGAAGAAATTTTCTTTCCATCCTTTGATGGATGACGGCCCAGGAGAGAATAAATTCTTATTCTCTTTGCTGGACGACCGAGGACCGAAGTGATACCACCCCTTCTCCCCCCTACCCCCAGCCTTAATTATCAAAAAATGTTTGAACATATTCACTGTTGGAACCCCAACACCCCGAACTCTGCAGTATACAAGAAAACCTATTACTACCCTCATGGCATTGGGAGTCAGCTGTGTTATTCCTATACTATAATCTAATAATAACCCAACCAGTAATTCTGGAATGGGAAACCTAACCCTGCGATCAAATAATGCAGGTATATGGGCATCCAATGGTCTCGGGGTGCTGAGCATGCCCTCTCATTCACCCCGGCAGGCTTGATTAGGACATGGTGAGGAAGGTTACAGTTCCCCACGAGGCCCCTAAGACTATCCCTACTACCCAACTCACTCACATACCCCCCACCTCGGATACTATATCTAAATCTGAGTCATAACACCCATCTACCCTATTCCCCGCCTCCAAAATGCTGGAGGGAATCTCGTCTTCATCCTCTTCTACCTCTTCTACCACCCTCTGCTCCAACCTCTCCTCCACCGTCCTCTCCGAGCTGGATGGAGATGGACTGCTCTCCGTATCCATACTACCGTAATCCAGGGGCATCACTTCACTCCCCACTACACTCTGACCTCTTCTGAAGACATCTTAATTTCTGCATAAAGGGGGAGGAGGAACGCTGTCAGGACCCTTAACAATTCCAGCACACTCAACACATTCTCACTCCCAACCCTAATTTTCTCCAAAAAACCCAAAATCAACCACAGAAAGGGAGAAAGGAGAGCACCGCTTCGACAAAATAAAAAATTTTATAAACCTTACCTAATTTTGGTCTGGAAACTGTTGTTGAAGTCTGGATTGAAGCGCAAACCGCACGAAACCACAGAAATTTAGTAGCAATTTAGCAGGAAATTTGAAGCAAAATAAACGAGAGTAAAAAAGTCCGCTTTACAGAAGTGTAGCCTTTTATACCAAAGGCAAAATACGCCCCAACGGCTATGATTAACTCAATCTAACGGTTGCAGAGACACCATTTCGAATTCGACGGTTAACCATTAAACGACACTGTTTTGAACTTGACGGTTCGCTTTACAAATCTGCCCGTTAGACTGTTGCAGTTATCTTTTTACGGCGGCATTTATTACGCACGTCATTCAGAGGACAGCTGTCGCGTCACGTACCGCGTCTTAGTCAGACGTCTCAAATGGGCCTACTTAAGCCCATTTCAACACCCTTTTTCACTTTTGTACATTTTAAAATTTTGGCAAGTGTTTCACTTCGGCTACGGCCACAGTGACCCAGTGTCACGTGTTTTCCTTCGACTACGGCCACAGTGACCCAGTGTCACGCTTCACTTCGGCTCCGGCCACAGTGACCCAGTGTCACATGATTCACTTCGGCTCCAGCCACAGTGACCTAGTGTCACATGATTTACTTCAGCTTTGGCCACAGTGACTCAGTATCACGTAATTTACTTCGGCCCCAGCTACACTACTCTATTTATGCACTAACCCTATCACTTCCAACAACAGTAATTCCTTCAAGAGGGGGAGTAGTGTAAGGGCAGGTCCGAGGTGCCGCACTCGGACATACGACAATAATTCCTTTACAACCGGAATGAAGAGTAAATCCAGAACTCCCTGCTCGGACGACTGCACAGCAGTTACGATGGACATTCTCACAACAAATCCCGAATATCTTGCTGGGCTTAATTTCTCAATCCCGAAATAACTGCCTAAAGATACATATCAAATCCCGAATATCTTGCTGGGCTTAATTTCCTGATCCCGAAATAACTGCCCGGAGATACACACCAAATCCCGAATGTCTTGCTTAGCATGCTGTGTGGGTTCTTCATTGGAACATATAAATACCCCTCAAGGGTCACGTCAAAAAGGTGATTGAAACCGACTCTAAGCTCTTCTAATCTTTGCTCTATTGGTAGCCCCGATTATTGCTGACTTAAGCATCGGAGTGTCTACCCCGAGATCCATCTCGGGGCTTTGCAGGTCAATCCGGAGTGCAGATACTAAGTGAAGAAGGACATCTGGCTTGGTGCAGTTACAGGTCCATTGGACTTAAAGGGGACCACATTGAGAAAAAGGGCAAAAGCTTACCTACAAAAGCGGGAGAAGCTCTATGGTTTCAGAAGCACTTATTAACGCAACAAAAAATGCCTGTGGATTTGTGAAATTGGGAAAGAGGCAAACCCTTCAATTTCATATCCACTCATCTCTAGTCTCCTTTTGTCCCAAAAACTACCCCCTCTCCCTCTCCCTCCTTATATATATACAAAATGGGGATTTAACCATTTGATAATATTCATGTTCTTCATGTTCCTTTGACAGAAAAATTTATATTCTAAATAGTTGAAATTGTCTGTTCCTTTATGTATTGGTTCGAGTTATGGCCTTATTATTCCTACTTAAGGCTTTTTTTTTTTCCCCTCGTATTAATTATTTGTTTGGGCATTCATTTGGTATGGTATGTCTGGTGTTGTCTATATGAGCAAAATCATTCATTTTGATTTATTTACCTTACTGATTCATCTTAAATGAATACTTGATTGTCTTTAATTATTGGACGAGAAGGTCAATGCCTCCCTCCCTATAAAAGCCTTAAGTAGGAATGCGAAATTTAGTATTTCCTTTCAAATTAAGTTAAGTTTGAATAATCTTTCAATAAATTGAAAATATTTAAAATATGTGATAAGCTATTTTATATTGAAGTTGTGAGATACCTAATACTTTTCCCACGCTTAACCAAGCTTCTGACTTCAATTAATCTTTAAATAAATGTAGGTGATCTATTATATTTTATTTGGATAAATAATGACTCCATTCATTTTGGGTTAAGTTCCCGTTTTGGTATCTCAACTATTGTATGGATTTTTGATTTAGTCCCTCAAGTCAAAAAAATCCTTGATTTGGTTCTTACTGTTTATCATTTTAACCCCGATTTGGTCCTTCCCCTCCATTAAAAATCTGCTTACATGTCCCGTTAGTTGACGAAAAATGATAACATGTAAAAATATTTTGACATGTAGGATTGATAGTATGGCATATAAAACTTACACGTAATTTTCAATAAAAACTAAAATATCTAAAATTAATTGTAAAAGTAAAATTACTTTTTTACCCTCATCTTCAACCACATGTCACTTTCTTTCCATTTTCTTTTCGTTACCCCTTCATTTTCATCTCTAGCGTTCATCTTCTTCCCCCAGATCCTTATTCATTGGCCTTAAGGGCTTTGGGTTTGATTGATGCCTATTGGGTTCGATCAATGAACCCAACAAGAACCCAGTGGCATGATGCTTGTTGGGTTTGATCGATGAACCCAGCGACGCCTGTTGGGTTTATCGATTGAACCTAGCAAGAACCTAGCAACATCGTTGGGTTCGATCGATGAACCTTGCAGGTGCCGCTGGGTTCATCGATCAAACCCAAGAGCGCTTGCTAGGTTCATCGATCGAACCCAACAGGCACTGTTAGGTTCGATTGAAGAACCCCTAATGGGTTTGATTGAAGAATGCTAGATTCGATTGAAGAATTGTTGTTGGGTTTGATTGAAGATACCTTGATTTTTCTGGGTTCTCTAGAAGGTCGAAAGGGCATTTAATGGGGGTTTAAACTACTTGCTGGGTTCCCTTTGTTATGTGAATATCGTGAGAAGGAGAAGGTTGATTTTGGGTGCGAGGAAATTTGGATCTAAGAGGCAATCCAGGTCTAAGTTCCTTCTACACCCACATTTGTATTTAGGTTTTATTTTTCAAATCCTTGATTGCTGCAATTTTGCGTGTGAAAGCATTAAAATTTAAATGATAAGAATTGAAATTGCAAATCTAGGTATTTATTTTGGGCACTTATTTGATTTTGCAGAATTGGAAAGCATTGAATTTTGGAATCAAATAAATTTAGGTCTTTCTTTGATTTTTTTTACTTTAATTTGAATTTAAAATGGATAGTGCAACCCAGATCTGGGTTCTTTTCGAACCTAAGTGTGTTGGGTTCAATCGAACCCAGGTATGCTGGGTTTAGAAGGTTTGCAGAAGGCGAAAGGAAAGGAAGAGGAAGAAGAAAGGGAAAAAGGAAAAACAAAGGAAGAAAGAAAAAAAAAAAAAGGAATTTTTTAATTATTTTTGCCACCTCATTGTTTTTGTCAACAAAATTTTTACGTGTCATGTTTCTCTTTGTGAAACAACGGGACACATAGGCGGAATTTTAATGGAGGAACCAAGTCGAAGTTAAAATGGTAAACAGTAGGAACTAAGTCAGAGATTTTTTGAGTTAAAGGACTAAATTGAAGATCTATACAATAATTAAGGGATCAAAATGAAAGTTTAACCTTCATTTTGCAACACCAACAACAATCATATAATGACATGGTTAATTTAGGGGTGGGCGTCAGGCGGTTTCGGGTGCAACCAAAACCGAGATCTCGGTTAACCAAGTTTTTAATTTTTTATTTTGACAACCAATAATCGAACCGAAATGTTTCAGGTTTTGTCGGTTTCAGGCATATCGGTTTCGGTTGATAAAGCATGGATTTCGGTTTTTAACCCAATTTTCAATCAAGCAGCAGCAATTAAGGAGGCAGTGGCTATGGCAGTGGAAACAAGAGAATAAATCAAGCATTGATGTGGAATTTTATTTTTAGATCTAGACTTTGTGGAAAGATTAATTAAAAAAGAACGGAAGGAAGAGAAAGGATTAAAGAAAAAGAATGAATTTTGGTGTAGAGTTGGGATCTGAGAGAACAAAAAGGAGTGAAGAAAAAGGGAGAGTCGGAGAAAAAGGTTTTGAGATGGGAGATGGGTAGGAGAAGATGAGTACGGGAAACAAGAATAGTAAGAAGTAAAAAAAAAATAATGAGATTTAAATTGAATGCTCCAAAACAAATTAATTATTTAATCTAATAGATGAAATAAAATTTTAATTAATTAAAAAAAGATTTTTTTATATGTATAAAGAGTATTTTTTATTATAGATATATATAAAAATAAAAAAAATTAATATTAATTTTAACATCAAATAAATTTAATTAGATAATTAATAATTTTAAAAATTAATTTTTATTTTTAATATAAATTTATGATAAAAAAATATATTTAATATATTTTTAAAAAATATTTAAAAAATTAAATAAATATAATGAAAGTAAGATGACATCACGTGGATCTCAAAAAATCCAAAACAGGTAAAAAATCAAAGATTACCCACAAAAGCGAAAAAGCAAGCAGACGGGGTAGGGGGTAAAAAAATTCAAAAGAAAATCCAAAAAAATAAAAAGCCTAGGCTTGTCGGTTGTCTGGGCCTACTAATGCGGTTGTCGGTTGTTGGGCCCAGGAGTCAACAACCGCTCGCTTGGGCCTTCGGTTACAACCGCAACCAAGGCTCAGCTCAACTGATTACAAAAAAAGCCCGACCCACCGGTTGCGGACGGACACGGGCTTTTTTGCGGTTGCGGGCCTAAATGCCCAGCCCAAATGGTTATTTATTTGGTGTGTACCTTAGCTTGGTAGGCTTAGGATTCTGCTTGTTGGGAAGCGGCTTCTTGACAACATCGACAGGATAGAATTTGGGGGACTAACGAGATCTAGATTCCCACTCACTCCAGATGTCCTTTGCTTTGATGCCATCAGGGTTTCTCCTTC